CTTTTCATGAGACTTCTTTCCAAACACATTATTTTGGATTTCCATAATCACTTTTGAAGCAAAACTCACACACCATTCAGGGTAAACCATAACCCCAATATGACCATTAGATGTATACCTGGTTGGAATGAATGATCCTGTATCAGTATAGGATTTCCTATATATTTTCAGATATCAATTCCATCCATTATTTAAATTGGAACAAGTTATATTCTTCATTCACAGTATGGTCTATTCATGCATTATCTCTATACTCATAGACCCAGAGTACACCTATTTGTATTCCCAAAAGCTAATTTATACGTCTTCAACATATTGCTCCCAAAAATGGTGGAAGAAATACTCATGTCACCTGATCTACATATACATTTTATCACAGTGATATTCTGGACACAAAATGCAAAGGTCACACTTATGATTGTAGCAAAGCCTAATTGGAAAGTGAACATGGATTACTCAAAACCTCCTTGTCCACCTTGCCTAATGCTCTCAAATGTCAATCCTATTGGTGACTACACATTTCTTTCTGCCTAAGATTATATATTCAACCTCAACCCTGTTGAAAATGTCTAATCCCATCACTCACTTTATACTTTGCCTGATTTCCTAATGTCTATATTCATATCTGCTTTCCTACATATTTTCCCCAGTTCATCATTGTTACTGACTCTTCACATGTGCTGACATTTACATTCATTCTCTAACAGATACCCAATTGCTAAAGAACTTTTGGTCCAAATTTTGTACTCACTCTTCTTGCTATACCTACTGACTATATTCCTAATCCTACCTAGTATCCATTTTTGACTGGATGTTATCTTCTACATTGAATCATTAAAGGTAGAATGTTCTGTGCCATTGTATAAAAATTAATGGAAGACCTCTGTACAGAATGTAATTCAAAGCTAAATATCCCAATCATGTGCCCAATGCCCTTCTTGCCATCAAATCTTACTTAGATTTTTGTTTTCATACATATATTTTACCTCTCTATTATTATAAATATCACAGGTTCTCAATAGCATTCTTCATCCATTAGAATGATTCCTAAACCAATTCGAACATGTTCTTAACCCCAAGCATACACTGTAACCTCAATCTAACTTTATACAAGAGCAGGGACAGAGTTGGTCTTACAATACAGGAATGTAGGGGATCTTCTACCTGCTGAGAACCTCAAAGGTCCATG